AAGCCGGCGACTGATGTGCCTCGCCTGGGAAGAGTGCAACGATGGTGCCAACTTGGGCCAGTGAAGCAACATCCTCCACAACTAGACTGAAGCACAAAAGGACAGCAACTTGTCTGTTCCCCTTCCCCCAATTCCCCAGCACTGTTCCCATCCCCCCAATTCCCCAATAAAAATCTTAAAAAAAAGTATGTTTATTTGTCCTGCACATCTTTAAAATGTTTACAGCACCGTTGTTTTATAACCAAGATACGGTTTCAGTATTTGTTACTTGAGTCTTATGAATTTCTTTCATTAAAGCAATATACTATACAATCTCTAAATGAGTTATTGTAGACAGTGCCTTTGCTTTGCAAATAACTGGAAGAAATATGGAGGTAAGATATATTGAGTACCAATCATCTATTTGGGATTAGCTTTGTGTTTATACATTTAATTCTCACAATAATCAATTGAAGTAGATAAGATTACTATTATTTTAGAGATGAAGAAGTTGACTCAGGGAGGTTAAATAACTTGACCCAAAGTTGCACAATTATGAAGTGGTGGAACCAAAATATGACTCTAGAAATATTTGACTTAAAAGCCCATATTCTTTCTACTTCAATTTGTAATCATTGACAAGCTATATCACTGGAGGCAAATGAACTTCTCCAGGTCTTAGTTTCCCATTTGCAAAATGTCTATGAACTAGATGATTTCTTAGGTCTTGATTGTTAGGCTGGTGGCAGAGATTTCAAATAGTCTACCTAATATCCATTAACCTATTCTTTCTTACTAATAGAATGGGGAAAATCTCATTTAGAATACATACTTTCTTTCACCTTTAGTCCTTACCCTTTTTTTTTTTTAAAGATTTTATTGGGGAATTGGGGGAGGAAAACAGCGTTGGGGAATCGGGGAAGGGGAACAGATAATTTGCTGTCCTTTTATTCTTCAGTCTAGTTGTGGAGTTCGTTGCTTCACTGGCCCATGTTGGTATTATCATTGCACTCTTCCCGGGTGAGGCAGTCACTCGCCAGCCATTGGACGGCTGCTCACGGAGGCCACAACAGCTCACGGCAGCTCATGCAGACTGCCGGCTGCTCACGCTGGCTGCCAGCCACTCACAGTAGCTCACGGCAGCCCAGCTCCAGGTTGAGCTCTTGTTTACCATCTTAACTGTAGAGAGTACAGTGTCACTGGCCCTCATGTGGGATCTGAACCGAGGCCCTGCTGCTCAGAGCTGGCGTCCCAAGTCAACTCAACCAAATGCACCACTCAGCAGGCCCCCTCACCCTTACCCTTATTTCTACCTGGAATGCAGACATGATACTAGAAGAAGCATCATGTCCCAATTTCTTGGTGCAGTGTTTGTTTTCTACTGTTCTCCTAGTTAATGATCTTTTCAACTTGATTCCGGAATCCAACGTTGGCCTTCAAAGTAGAATGTATTCACACGCAGGGTAGGAGCAGGATGATTATGTGTGTGCCCAAAGAAATATACACATATTTTAAACCATGGGTCTTTCCTGGATACAAGAAAAACTTGGTCATTGAAGTAACTTGGAAAATACAGAAAAAAAAAAAAAGAAAAAAAAAAAGCCTGTTATTCCAAAATTCAGAGAAAACCATTTTTGAAATTTTGCTGTGTTTGACTTCCAGTTCTGGTCTTAGTGGAATAATTCACTGTAAAACCTCATAAAACATATTCAGCAATTATTTTCAGACTGTATACAATAAACAGCATAGACTACAGTTTCTGAGACAAAGGGAATTCATGAGGTGAGTCCCATGATTGATCAGCTCTCTGCCTGGGGACAATTTCCTAACTATAGTGCAGACAGCTAGAGTCTCAGCAGAGCATAGAGATCCTGCTGAACTGAGGAGGCAGGTATGAAAGTCTGTGGCCACTGAGTTGGCTAACATCTCTGGGGTGAGGCATTGGAGAGGAACAAGCTGTACAGCAAGGGGATCCCAGATCGATCAATCTATCAATCTATCAATCAATCTATCTATCTATCTATCTACCTACCTACCAACTTATATACAGTATACAGATGCAGATATAGATATATAAATATACAGTATATATAGGTATATAGACATATATAAATATATATAGCTATATATATCCTGCCTATCAACACAGAAGAAACACTTGGCAAAATTCAATGATTCATGACAAATTCTCACCAAATTAAGAATAGGAGAGAACTTCCTTAGTCTGAGAAGAAACATGTACAAAAACTGCAGCTAGAGCCAGCCGAGTGGCACATTGGTTAAGAGTTGGCTTGGGACACCATCTCTGAGCAGCAGGGCCCTGGTTCGGATCCCACATGAGGGCCAGTGACGCTGCACCCTCTACAGCTAAGATGATGAACAACAGCCCGACCTGGAGCTGGGCTGCCATGAGTCTCCAGTGACGGCTAGGCTGCAGTGGGGCTGCAGTGGGCTCCCCGTAAGCTATTGTGAGCGGCCATCAGCCCGCATGAGCTGCGAAGAGCCACCATGAGCGGCCGTCCAGTGGCCAGCAACCAATCGGCCTCACCCGGGAAGAGCGCAATGATAAACCAACATGGGCCAGTGAAGCGACGTCCTCCACAACTAGGCTGAAGAACAAAAACGACAGCAACTTGCCTGTTCCCCTTCACGGATTCCCCCTCTTCCCTGATTCCCCAACACTGTTCCCCTCCCCCAATTCCCCAATAAAATCTTAAAAACAAAACAAGAAAACTGCAGCTAGTATCATACTTAATGGTGGACTAGGGAATGCTTTCCCTTTAAGAGTGAGCATACAGGTAGGATAACCACAGTCACCACCTCTACTATTATTGTATTGGGAGGTCTCAGCTAATGAAACAAGCCAAGAAAAAAAAAGATAGATTCAAAAGGAAGAAGAAAAACTGTTTTTATTCGCAGATCATGATTGATTGCTCACATCGAAAATCCTAGGGAATATATAAAAAAAAATCTATAATAAATGAATTTAGAAGAGAAGCAGGTTGAAAAATCAACTGTACATCAATATGTTAGAAATCATTTGTTTGTCATTATATTAGCAACAAATTATTGGAAAATAAAAAAATTTTAAATACTATTTTAAATAACGTAATCAGGAATAAATTTAACAAAAAGGTGTCCAAGACCTCTTCATTGAAAAAAAGTAAAAGATGACTAAGAGAAATTAAGGATCTAAATAAAAGAAAAACATAACATGCATGTTAGGTTTTTTATGTTAATTATCCTTAAATTGATCTATAGAATCAATGCAATGTTAATCAAACTCATTGAAGAATCTTTGAAGAAATGGATAGCGGATTTAAAAATGTATAATTTATATGGAAATGCAAGAAACTAAAATAGCCAAAACAATTTTGGATATCTTATTGTTTCCACACTATTTGTTAAAAGACTTTCCCCATTGGATTGTTTTGATGCCTTTGTCAAAAATAAAGTGATCTTAGGGCCGGCCGAGTGGCGCATTGGCTAAGAGCTGGCTTGGGACACCAGAGGGCCCAGGTTCGGATCCCACATATGAGGGCCAGTGACACTGCCCTCTACAGCTAAGATGCTGAACAACAGCTCAACCTGGAGCTGGGATGCCGTGAGTCACCCGC